GTCCGTGTTCCTGACGCGGAAGGCGATCTTGATGGACTCGGGGTCGATGAAGGACGTGCCGCTGGTCAGCGGGATGCGGCAGACCCTAGAGGTTGTGGGGGAGAAGGAGCTCAGCGAGCTGGGGAAGTACTGCACGTCATGCCGCGCCGTCACGTAGCTGGTGTTGCTTGTTTTCAGCTTGTAGTCCAGGCTCTGCATCAGCTCATCCTGGGCTCCGGCGGTGACTACCTCCATGCTTGTTTATATACACGCATTTTGACTCGTACGGAAAACTATTCTTCTAGGGCGTACATAGATGTACGGCCTGGAAGAATAGCATTTTTTCAGCGCAAAACCGTGCAAAAAAGCTATTACTCCAGGGTGTACATGTATGTACGGCCTGAAGTAATAGCTTTTCTCAGCGCAAAACCGTGCAAAATAAACTCTCCCCCAGGAGGAGGGTTTTTATTTTTTTTAAGCAGCCTCAATGTCTCGCGCCAGCTGGTCAAAGCTGGGCGGAGGCAAGCTCCGGCGTCCGGAACTGGAGCTCGCCCGTGAGCTTGGCTGGGACTGGGGCAGAGCCACGGGGTTCAGGCCCCAGGAGAAGGGGCGCGGCGTGTTGGACTGCGCCTGGACGCGGAGCGAGGAGGCGCGGCTGCTTGCGGGGCTGCCGGACGTGCTGCTGCCGGTGCGCAGCGTGAAGTGCTGAGGCTGAGTGGCGTCATTCATGTTGTTGGCGGACCGGACGTCCTGCACTGCCGCGTCCTCGCTGCCCTGCTGGGGCCGGAAGAGCGTGTTCTCGAGGACCCAGCCCGTGCCGCGCGCGAGGCCGTAGGCTGCGCCGCCAGCGAGCCCCACGGCCAACCCAGCCGTCGCCGCCGCGCCAACTCCCGCCGCGCCAGCCAACGTTCCAGCAACCTCGCCCGCGGTGGGCGCCAGGGCTGCGGCCCCCTCGGCCAGGCCCCCCAGGTACCCAAAGGCTCCGCCCACGCCCTCGGCGGCAACGGCAACCTCGCCCTGCTGCAGGGGCCGAGGGTTGGGGTCCTCGCTGGACTGTACAAAATCGTCCAGGTAGAAGTGGCTTGTGACGAACGAGGTGGCCTTGCGGTCCGGCTGGTCCAGGGGCAGCGGCTCATTCCGCTCAAGGTAGCCCACCACCTGCTCAAAGCGCGGGCGCTGATTGAAGCCGTGCGCCCGAAGTGTCTTCATTTACTGTTGCGCAACTTCGCCCGCCGCCCGTTCCACGCCCCGGCGCTCGGCCCGCGCGTAGCGCAGCTGGGGTACCTGGCGGTGCACGGCCTCCGTCAGCCGGCTCACGTCGTCCAGGTGCCGCTGCCCCTCCTGCGCCTGCCTGCGCTCGCCCAGCCAGTTGTTGAAGGCCCGCGCCTCCTCCAGTTCTCGGTAGCGCTTCAGCAGCAGCGGCTGCAAGTTGTAACTGGGGTACGTCCTGCGGAACCACCGGAGCATCCGCGGCTCGTTGCGGGGTTCAATGGACATCATGCTTTTATACCAGTACGCTTGCGCCTGTGGTCAGCCGGTCATAAGCGGACTGCCTCTCCAGCATGCGCAGGGCGCGCTGCTGCTCTCTTGTGAGCTGAGGCGCCTCCGGTGGAGCCTCAGCCGGTGCCTCAGCCGGTGCCTCCGTCGGTGCCTCTGCCGGTGCCTCTGCTGGCGCCTCCGCCGGCGTCTCAAGTGGGAGCGGCTTTGGCTTGCGCTTTGGAGCAGCCGGCTCAGTAGGCACGTCCTGCTTCGGTTTGTTCTTGCTCCCAGGGGGCCTGCCCCGCCGTTTCGGTTCCGGCGCAGCGTCCTGCGCAGCGTGTGGTGCCTCCGGCGCAGCGTGCGCCTCTGTTCGGTCGGCTCCATTTAATTATACGTGGTCAAGATATAACACGAACGACAAAGACGACCCGCGAAGCCGGACGACGTTGCCGTCCAGGTCGGTCAGGCGGAAGCGCATGTGCCTCAGGGTAACCGGGCCCCTGAGGGCCATGAAGTGCCCGTCGTCTGAGCCCGTCTCCACAATGGTACCCACTCCGCTCTTCAGCGTGATCTTGGAGAGGATGTCGTCGCCCAGGTTGCCCAGCACTCTGCTGGCGTTGGCCAGCTGGGCGCAGCGCAGGTAGACCTCGTTGTGCGCCATCATCCGGACAAACTCAAAGACCTGCTGCCCGCCGGAGACAAAGCTCGGGCCCAGCATGTGGTCCACGCTGAAGGGCTTGGTGGGAGAGGCGGGCGGCGCAGCAGGGTAGTCCGCGGCATCAGGGAATTGCTGGCGCAGCTCCAGGTCGTTCAGAATGAGCCTGTTGCCGTCGTAGGCTACGCTCAGGCTGTTCGTGGTCTCGCTATAGGTGGCGGTGGCAAAGTTGGAGCTGATCCAGGCGGCCAACCGTGCGCCAGTGTACGCGCCCTCGGGCAACAACGCCCAGTTCAGCGTGCCCAGCGCGGCGTCAACCCAGTAGAGGTAGCGGCCCCGGTCCGTCGAGAGAAAGCTGTCGGCCAGGCGGATCTTGTAGACGGCGAGCCGGGCGTCGCTCTGCAAGTGCAGGGACTCTCCCAGGTCTACCTCAAAGTCGCTGTCCGAGCCGGCCACTCTCTTGCGGCTGTCCACGTAGATAGTGGTCATCCTTTTCTTTAGGAACCCGCCCGTCCGGCGGACGACGGGCGGCTGGACGGCTGCGACGGAGGTGCAGCAGGAGATATTCTCACACTTCGCGTTGATCAGCGTGGAGCTGGCGAACAGCTTCTGGCCCAGGAAGCTGAGCGCCGCCCCCATCGGCGTCTTTTTCAAGTGCAAAACGCTCTTCAAAGCGCTTGTAGAACATTTCATTCCTCGGCTTCAGGTAGTAGACGAAGAGGAAACTGTAGGGTTCCGTGTTGCCTGCTCATACAGCCGGTACAGCTGCTCCTTCGGCAGCAGGGCGCTGAGCTCCTCCACCACGGCGTCCAGCTCGTGCTGGTTGCGCAGCCTCCAGCAGCAGAGGAATTGCATGTTCACCCGCACCGCTGCGCTGATGAGCCGCAGCTTCTGCGAGCTCACCCAGGTGCTTATCTGCATGTGCCGGCCCCTGATGAAGAGAGTGTCCAGGGCGCCGTGAGGCTTGTGCAACTGCGGCGTGTCAGCAAAGTCGTCGATGACTACAAGCACCTGGTACAGTTTCTTCATTTCCAACTTCTTGGACGCCTCCGTGATCTTGCGCTGCTGCTGGATGATGCGCCGCAGCGCCGCCTCGTCCCACTCGTCCCAATACGTCTGCTCCCGCTCTGTGTTCACCCCCAGGTCCCCCTCAATGTACTTCTTGACGGGGATCCAGCCGTCGTCTATGTTCACACTCGGGCTGAAGACGTAAATTCTCTCAGACGCTGATCAGAGCCACGGTTTTGCCCGATTTTGATGGCCCGAGGAAAATGCCCGTGCACGGCACCAGGGGCACCACGGGGTCAGAGGGCTGCTTTGCTGCTATACTCTGTCGTAGGAAACAGCTTGATCTTCCCCATTTCCTTTGCGTTACTTGCCAAATTTGAAGCCGGGAAGCCGTGCGAGTCCGGGAGAAATGCCATATTTACGGCATCGCAGCCGGAGTTTTCCGGGAGTGTCCTGCTATACAGCAGTGCGCTTCCATAGTTTTCCGGGCAATCCGGGCGGCGAGTCCGGGAGTGCATCGCTGTGTACCGACGCACTGCCGGTGTTTTTTTCCGCGCAATCCGGGCGGCGAGTCTGGGGACGTAGTGCTGTACAGCACTGCGCTTCCAGCGTTTTCTGGGAAACACCGGGGCAATCCTGTGCCCACGCCAGGATTGAGTGTGGCAATCCTGTGCCCACGCCAGGATTGAGTGAGGCAATCCTGTGCCCACGCCAGGATTGAGTGGGGCAATCCTGTGCCCACGCCAGGATTGACGGCAGGGCGTGTGAATGGTGCAAAAAAACACTCTGTCAGCGGTACCGCGAGGACAGCAGCGCTGACAGACCTCCGGCACTGGCCCGGTGATGGGTTTTTTCGGCAAAAAAGCGAAGTTGGAATTCCGACCTCGGTGCAGAGCGAAGTCGGAATTCCGACCTCGGTGTGGCGCAGGCAGGCTGGAGGCTTCTATGCCAGGCAGGCGCGGCAGGAAGCTGGGAGCTCGGAGTTTTTTGGGCCCTTATAGGAACCTATAGGAACCTATAGGAATCTTATAGGAAACCCATAGGAAACCCATAGGAAACTCATAGGAAGCCCTCTTCTGCTTTTCCTATGGACTTCCTATGGGTTTCCTATGGGTTTCCTATAAGATTCCTATAGGTTCCTATAGGTTCCTATCTCTCTCTTTAGAGGGGGTTTCCCAAATGGCTTATATTCTACCTGAGAGGCTCCCAGCACTCGTCCGTCCAGCATTTGACCTCGTCCTGCGAAGGATTCGAAGTCTAAAACGCTGCGTGGAGGCGTGAGGCTGCAAAATAGAGACCCCTAGATATGCGCTGCAATTTGGCTCCAGGTTGCATTTCAAGCGATGTCAAGCTTTGCCAAAGGAAACCCCTTTTCCCTTTTTTTTGGGGACCCCTTTTTTTGGGACCCCTTGTTTTCTTTTTTTTTTGTGTTTTTCTTAGCCCTGCAAAGGTTGGCTCGCTTGAAATGCAACCTGGAGCCAAATTGCAAGCATATCTAGGGGTCACTATTTTGCAGCCTCACGCCTCCACGCAGCGTTTTAGACTTTGAATCCTTCGCAGGACGAGGTCAAATGCTGGACGGACGAGTGCTGGGAGCCTCTCAGGTAGAATATAAGCCATTTGGGAAACCCCCTCTAAAGAGAGAGGCTGAAGGGGCAGCTGGAGGAAAGTGGCGTCAGGCTGGACGAGAAGAGCATCGAGTTTTTCGCCCTGTTTTGTGGTGGCCATCGCGGCATTTTCATCGCTGCGATGCACTGGGTGAAGAGCAAGCAGGCTGGTGAGAGCTGGGGCTTCAGCCAGACTGTGGGATTTGTGCGCAAGAGCTATGACAAGGGGGGTTGAGACACTGGCACAGGGATTTTAGCGTTTGTGGGACAGAGCCGTGCAGTGCGTGTCAATGGTAAGTACAGCCCTGTCGGCAACACTCCGCAAGAGTTTGCAGAGCTGTTGTGCAGAGGGGCAAGCCGCATTGCAACGCTGGAAGTTCGGAAAGAGCTCGCCATCAACGGCTTTGTGCTTCCCAAACATGACAGACGCATTAAGGGAGAGTTCCAACAACTGCATTGGAACAACGAAGGCACAGAGTACCAAGTGGCGAACCCCGTACTCGCTTCGTACTACCGGTACAATCTGAAGAAACATTGCAGTTTAGAAGTTCAGTTTGAGCCCAGCAATCCCCAACACTGTGCAGATTTATTGATGCGAGCCATACCATACCTCCCCTTCTCCAAGGTCGTGAGCTTCGAAGGGGAAACATCCGAATTGGCAAAGGACAGCCTTCCTCATAAGACGCAATACAACCAAGCCTTCCACTGGGTATTGCAAACCATGGGCTACCAGTCCTTTGCCCCGCAATCGTCTAAGGAGGGAGAAGGGAAGCCAGACCTCAGGGTCCACATTGGCGAGGAGAGCTTTGCTATTGAGGGCATGAAACAAAACATCGAAGAGCACCTTCGGCGCTTCAACATAATGGCGAACTACAAGAACGCCAATCACCAGGGTCTCTACATCATCGGCAACGACAGCGACAAGATGCTCAAGACCTTGAAAAACACTGAAGCCGGTAAGGTGCAACTGATAGGCTTAGTTCCCAACATCGCCCACACCGCGTACACCGTCCACGTCAAGAGCAAGGGCATCGAAGGCATCAACACCTGCAACGTGGATTGCGATCTTGTGGCAAGAAGGTTGGTGCTTAAAGACGATGGCAAACCTGAGCTCCACATCGCTAGAGCATTAACCTGTCTCCCAAAGCTGAGACCAGCCCCTTGCACTTGCTTTGCACCGCCTTTTTTCATCGGTCTTCCGGTGTTTGCCCGTTTTTTGAGGGGATATGTTAGTTTTTTCATTCAGTTCATGGGTTGTCAGTTGCAAGAGCCAAGGGCAGCCTGCGAAGACAGAGATGGTCTGGGTGCGAGAGTTGAAGGAGGAGAACGGCGAGTACAAGCTGGTGGGCAACGCCCTGCCAATCGAGCCTGTGCTGGCGAACATCGGCTTCCTGAAGGAGGTCATCAAGGAGAAGAAGCCAAATCGTGTCCAATGCGATGCTGATGAGACGCGGATTTTCCACCTCACAGAAGGCACGTGGCAGGAGGAGAAGAAGATGAGTGCTGCATTGCGCCCTTCCACGGAAGAGACGCCCTGCGGCTATCTTGTACCATAGCAATATGGTTTCTTGCACTTTGCACTTCAAGTTTCAAGTTTCACTCAGAACAGCGCGTTTCGATACACATTCGCAGGGGTGGTTGGCAGACGATGCTTTTGCTTGAGCATGAGCATGGCAAGAGCAGAACAATTGATGTTGTAAGACCAGTCCAACCCCACTCGGATTGAAGCAGTCAAGTTTCACCCAGCACAGCCAGCACAGAGTTCTGTGAACTCTTGTTCTGCAAGATGGATGAAGTGGACTCCGAATTTTGCACGTCAACAATACAGAGTTTGCAGACACAGATACGCTATGAAGAAGAGGTGCAGAAAGAGAAATCAAGATGAACATAGATGAATGTTTTGCGTCAATACAGTGTGAATGTCAAGAGTTTTACTTGGAAACATATTGTTGAGTCCATCATGTTCTTTTTTGGGACTTAGAAAATACAGTTCCGGAGCTCATTGGATTTGCGTTTTGAAACAATTGAGCGGTTTGGAGTAGTGCCTCATCGAGCTGCAAACACCATCCAGTTTGTGTCCGAACAAACCAGCTTATGTCCAAACCAGTGGATGTCCGAACCAGTCAGCTTATGTCCGAACCAATCAGCTTTTGTCCGAGCCAGTCAGTTACGTCCGAACCATGCTGTGCGTTGCGCAACGTGTTTTGTTTGGAGCGATCTGTCTTGCGACCGCGTCGGGTAGATGTGCAAGGATCATGCATCATGGCACTCGCTTGTGCGAGACCAAATTCCTCCTAGCTTCCAAAATCTGCAAGATTGGCCGATCTGGCCGCTGGGGAGGTGGATCCCGTACAAACTTCAGAATGTGCTGGAGCAAAGGCATGCGCCCCTGCAATCTGTTTTTTTTTTTCACCCTGCCGCCTTGGGCCTAGTGGCATCGGTCGGCTGACTTGAGACTTATCCGTGTACCAGGGTGGAATCGAACCCCGGCGACTGTCTGACGTTGGTCCGGAGACCAACGCCTTTACCATCTCACCACGGTGTCGTCTGCGCCCCTGCAATCTGGACACCAGCGGCCAGTTAGGCACCGCCGACATGTCTCACTTGTGCAGTCTGTTGATGCACCAATCGCATCATAGGCCCGCCGATGATTGCAGATTGCACTTACTCCTGAAGGAGGCTGCTGCGTCCGGTTTTTGGCCGACTTGTTCATTTGGCTATTTTGTTCTGTGAGCCGTGTATGCAATCAATCGACATACATGGCGTGTCACGCTTGAGCCCGCAGTACTGCGCCGGGCTGCTGATGGCCACCTTGGGGCTCTCGCCGACGGCCATGAGCTGGCGCCTCGCCTCGCGCAGGTCGCATCGCCCCAGTAGAGCACGCGCGCCGCCTGCCTCTCCAGCACCCGCTTCACGGCCCTGCACAGAGCAGTGCCCGTCGAAGGCCAAGAAGCACACGGTGCGGTGCTCCTTCAGCGCCGGGTCGTAGCTGTCCACGAGGTCGCCCTGCGAGCTCAGCACGCGCATCGGCGCGTTGCGCCACACGCAGAACTCGCGCACCTCCTCGGCGGAGATGCCAATCGTGGCGCAGCATGGCGTCGAAGTCGGCGCACACTGCCGGGGCACGCAGAGCGGCTTGTCCTCGAAGGCGCTCGGCCTCGCAGGGCAGCTGGAAGCTCACTCCTCAGGCCTCATGCGCTGGCGCAGGAGCGTCTCCACCTCCGTCCTGGAGTTCCTGTACTGCTCCTCCGTGAGGTGGGCCGGGTGCCTCGTCATGGCCCCGCCCAGCTCGTTCACCGGCAGCCAGTCCCTGCGCTCGTAGCCCGCCCCCGCGTTCCGCCTGCCCCGGATGATCACCGGCACGTGGACCAGGTACTTGTAGTACTTGTCGCGGAAGAAGCCCTTGCCCAGCTTGGTCAGCCGGTGCTCTCCGCCCTGCAAGGAGCGCACAAGCTTCTTCCGCCCGTTGCGCAGCAGGATGCTCGCGGATGAGGGGCTGTAGTCAAAGTCCCTGCTGGGAGGCCCAGGTGAGAGTAGTAGTGCTGGCCCGCCCGGGTCAGCTGCCCGTCCGCGCGCGAGAGCAGTGCGTAGGCCCCGGGTCCGCGCCGCAAGTTCAGCACGACGGCTCCATCCGCCCCCGTGCGAGCCCGGGCGCCGCCGTCCGCATGTCGTTGTCTTGCCCAACTTGCCATTCTCTCGTGACCGATGGCTTAATGCCCCAAGGCGCGCGCGTGACAAAAAAATTGCCCAACTTGCCATTCTTTTTTTACGGGTCCAGTTTTTTTTGCTCGGCCGCGCGCATTCTCCGGGGCATCTGTGCAAGTTACAGCCGGGGAGAATAGCTTTTTACACGGTTTTTTGTCTCCCGATTCCTATTCTCCGGGGCATCTGTGCAAGTTACAGACGGGGGAGAATAGCTTGTTTCGCACGGTTTTGCGCTGAAAAATGCTATTCCTCTAGTCCGTATATCTGTATACGGACCGGAGGATTAGCTCGTTTTGCACGATTTTTGCATGGCGTGACACGATTTTTTTGCTTGGTGTGATTTTGCATGTTTTTTTTGGCACAGCATCCCCCCCAGCATCACCAGCTTCAGGGCGTGAAAACGAGGCGTTATTTTTCCACACCCGTCTTGCAACAGCCAGCCGAAGATGAGGGGGGCCTGACCAGAGGGTGTTTGCGCCTTGTTTGAACTTCTCTTTGCTCGATTTTACATGTTCTTCGTGTGATTTGTGGGATTGCTTGTTGACAACTGTCCACACTCCCTCCCTTTTTTTTTTGCTGAATTTTGCATGTTTTGTGTCTGATTTGAGATTGCACCCCTTTTGCGCCCCTCTTGCACCCCTTTTGCACCCCTCTTGCACCCCTTCTGCACCCCCCTCTTTTTGATCAATTTTGCATTTTTTTCATGATCTGGGAGTGCTTGTTGACAACTGTCCACACTCCCTCCATTTCCTGAATGTGGTTGTCACACCTCTCTATGGTGGGTTTCGGACACCATGCTGTGCTGTTGCTCGAGTGCTCCCAGGATGGTGCACGGAAGCCGATCCTGTCCTTTTTGCTTTTGCTTACAGACACTATTGTGGGACGCAAACCTCAGTCGGACGGGCTGGTCCTGCGCAACATTCGTGTGCTGGGTCACTGCCGTGCCCCAACGGAGTGGAAGTCCCTAATGTTGGTGGCGGCGCCTGCTATCCCTGCTTGCTTAGGACTTGGCAGCCCGGATGCGGAAGTTTTTCTCCCTGACAACCGGCCTGGTGCAGTGTTGATAGGGTGGACGTTGGGGAGTATACGGAGTTGTGGCAGGCGATTTTCGCTGCGGCCAGCCCCGATGGGCGCTTCCTTGGGGTGGTGATCTCCCTTCTTGCTGCTGCTCAAACAGGACGCGCAGATGTCTTCCTGTCGGGTGTTTTCGGTGCGGGCAAGACTGCCAGTTTGGCGCTGGTGGTAGGGTACCTTGCGGCCTTTTCCAAGGTCAAAATCTTGCTGACGTCCAAGGAGAATGCTGCAATGAGAGCTATGGCGGCCTTTCTGCAGGACGCCCTTCCGGTCGACCCGCCGGCAGGGCAGAGAGTGGCGCGGTTCTGCGGAGCGGGAGAGTTTAAGCGTAACGATCAAGCGGACACGGCGTTCGACCTCCCGCCTGACGCAAGGGGTGGCAACCGATGGGTGAAGTCCATTGTGATGTGCGCTACAGGCGTTCTACCCAACGAGATGAGGTTCATGCGGGAACTGGTTGTCATGGACGAGGCCCAGCAGTATGGCGCAATCTCGGAGGTGGTGCCTATGTCGGCTGCTCGCAAATGCTTGCGAGGATGGGCGGGCGGCGCCGTGCAAACTCCGGGGGGCATGGACCGTGCGGCTGCAACACGAGCGGCCAGAAGGAAAATGTTGGAGCGGGCCATGGGCCTCCGACGAAACTCGTGCTGGATGCATCCCTGGCAACTGACGGTTCACTTATCCCAGCTCGCTCGGCTGGAGCCTGCGCAAAGAGCTGATGTGGAGAGAGTGATTGCCGCTAGGGATGTGCACGACTCGGCTGGTGGCTTTCGCACCCCCCTTTTCACCCTGGTCCACACGCTGGCGTTGCATGATGCCTGGACGGAGGTCGCCGCAGCAGCGGAACAAGCAGGCCTGGAAGGCATGCATGCCTGCGGCCTGCTGATGCCCGTTTCCCATCGGGCCCCTCGGTCAGTTTACCTACCCATTTTGTTCACGCGCTACAGAGTCGTGCTGGGTCTTGAAGACCATGTTCCTTTTGCGCTGCCGGCAGAGGAATTTCGCGGCCATGTTACGGGTTTCCGTTTCATCCAGTCTCCCCATGCGTCAGGAGCTCCCTCGGCTGTGGCTCGCTTTGGACTCGCAATCCATGCGTCGCATGTTGGTGTTGACCAACCAATCGCCTGGACGAGTGCCAGGCCTGCACCGAGCTGTTCGGCGGAGCCAAGGGCGAGACTGTGGAGGAATCGTTGCCTGCTCTCCTCACTCGTTACGAGGCTAGGGGCCACCACGCTGCAGGCTGCTGAGGCGGCCAGCAGCTACATTCGCGTGGAAACCAGCGTCCGCACAGCTGGGGCCACTTGCCACGCGGCGCTTGTTGTCCAGACGAGAAGAGGCTTTATGTCCATAGGGGAAGACGCACGGTGGCGCTAACACGCAGCAAAACGGCTACGCTGATGCTTAGCCCGCTTGATATGCGTGGCCTTCCTGGGATGGCCCAGACCCTTGCCAGTTGGCTGCACGGCGCTCACGTGCGCCAGGGCCCTGAGGATGATCGCCCTTGGCTGCCCCGGCACGACGAGAATCAGGTCCGAGGACGGTCCGGTTCGAGGCAAACCTGGATGGAGAAGCTTGCTTTTGCTGACCGACTGGTTTGGAACGACATCCCGCTTGCCATCTGTTGCCAGTACGGGTCCTCTCCACCCTTGGTCCTTGTGCGCAACTCGCACAGTTGGCAGGTACAGGCTGAGGACCTCGGTGACCTCCCTCCTGCAGTGCTTCCAGAGTGTTTGACGAAGCGATTCCGGCTCTCTTGTGGGGCTATGCTGGTCGTGACATGGTGTTTCCGCAGTGGGTTTTGGGACCATATCGTGGCATGCTGAGACTTTGGTCGATCAAATCGGGAAGAGTTTTTGTTTTGCAGGCGGACTCTTCGGAAGCGCAGCGCCACCCACGCCTCCCCATTGCTGTCTGGCCGGTGGAACAGTTTCGTTTCTTCAATGAGTGGACTGATGCTCCCCGGTATTCGCTCGACCCTGCGCATGGAGGGGACTGAGTCTCCGGACTTTGTTCGTCCTGACTTTCTCCGGACGTGCGAGATCTCACGGCTTTCGGGTTTGATGCGGCGCAATACCTGGAGGAGAC